GATAACAGTTGTATGAGCCCCTAATAAAATGTTAAAAAAAAAATCAGAAGAAAAAAAAAAAAAAGAAAAGAAATGCCTGTGATCACTAGCCATTCAAAAACGCCAACGAAAACACCGAAGAGATACCAGCGCACGCCAGCACTGATAGCAATGTTTAAAAAGAAGCCAAAAATAAATGCTAGCGAGGATGTGAAGAGATTGGAACACTCCTACACTGCGGTGCGACTGCAAAACTGCTTAACCGTTGCGGAATGTGGCAGGTCTGGTGCCTCCTGAGACAGATGGGGCTCGACACATCCCATGACCAGTAACCCGTCTACTCAGCATCTACCATAAAGAAATAAGGAGCAACGTATGAGCAGATATTTTCACACCACGCTCATGACATCACTAGTCCCAATCGAAAAAGATGGAAGCAACCTAAATGCCATTGATGGAGGGATGGATAAATAAACTTTGGGACATCCATGCGATGGAGTACTATACACCCCTAAAGAATAATGATGAAACGGTTACTGTTAAACATCCCACGATAGTGATGAATTTGGAAGATACCATGTTGAGTGAACTTAGTCAAGCCTACAAAGACAAATCCTGTATGAGACCACTACTATACAGTTAAAAAAAAATCAAGACAAACAGTTTCCGTACCCAAAGAAGCCAACTCTGATGATTATGCAGAAGCTGGGGTGAGGCAAGAGGAAAAGGAAAGGAGGGAGGGGCAATCAAATAAAAATGAGTTTTGAAAAAGATGCACAGTCACACACAGGGGTGGCTTGTAGCATAGAGAGATGCGCAGGGAAATACAGAGCTGAGACCAGGGACAGCAGCATAGATTTCAAAGAAAACCTTGTGTTGAAATATTATTTCTTAGGGTTATTGGGTGGGGTGGGGTTGCGGGGAGAGACCCAGGGACACACGGAGGATGCTTCAGGGATGCTGGCTTAGTTCCTGGACACGTATCGAGCACTTACAATACAGACACTTTTCTTGATATCTATGTTATACTTAGATACGAAGTACACGATAGATACAAGAAAACAGCTGAAACAACATTTCGAGTCAAAGGGAAGGATAAATCCCTTCGGCAAAATCGCTATGAACCCGGGGAACCTCTCTCGTGTGGCAATAAATCATCACGGGAGGCACATCATTGGGAATGATTCTGTAAGTGAGATGAGACATGCAGAGTGATTAACACTGAGCTTGGCACACACAGTGCTCGGTAAATGACAATAATTATGCTGCAAAAGAGTTATCACCACAACTGAGATACAAAATCATGATGGGATACAAAATGTTCTGGAATGTTCCAGCATCTCCTCAGTGAGTGAATCCCTGAATCTCAAAGTGTTTGGAGCTCCTTTGACCACAGTCTTTTTAAAAAAAAATCATTTTCTTGGGGGCTCGTACAACTCTTAGCACAACCCATAAATCCATCCATTGTGTCAAGCACATTTGTATACGTGTTGCCGTCATCATTTCCAAAACATTTGCTTTCTGCTTGAGCCCTTGGTATCAGCTCCTCCTCCCCACCCTCCCTCCCTGCTCCCTGTTCCCCCCTCTCTTATGAACCCCCGATCATTTACAAATTATTGTTATTTTGTCTTATCTTACACTGTCCAACGTCTCCCTTCACCCACTTGTCTGTTGCCCGTCCCCCAGGGAGGAGGCCATTGGTAGACCACAGTCTTTGAAGGAAGAGAAATCCAAGCCTTTATCTACTAAGTCATGATTGGTTCTGACCAGTAACCCACACAAAGGGTCGTTCCAAATACCTGTCCAATTTGGTTAAATCGTTCAGTGACTTCATTTTGGTCAACGACTGCTCCCATGCACTGTTTGGTTGTAAACCAGCTGTCAATCCACCTCCCTGTCCCGGCATTTGGATCTGTGTTTGGCTTTCCACCCAGCGCAGGCATTTTCAAAGGAAACAGGTGTCAAGGATGTTGGATTCTGAAATCTCAGAGCAAAGTTTTGGCCGAAAAACGAATCCTAGACACCGTGCAGCAAGATCTCCGCTCCAGACTGACTGGGAGCAGGACTTACGAATTCCAGGCACTGAGACAACCCCAACAAGCTGGAGCCTTGTATTGCAAGCTGTGCTCCCCAACTGCAAATTAGATGCCAGATTAACTCCGGGGAAGGTCTGACAGCTCTCGGATTATTCTCCTCTGAAGGCATGTTAGCGGGACTGCTTCTAGCCCCTTCGCCGCTAGCTCTAGGCACTATTAGAAGACTCCTCTTTCCAGAACGTTTCTCTCAAAAACTCCAACTGCCACGTGTCCCTGCCAGCCTGGGATGCTACATACAGAGCCACCCAGTTTGTTCAGGGGCATGCTCTGCTCCACACAGTCCGGGATTCTTTGTGACACACATCGATAAAGAAAGCCCATGCCCATCTTTGGAGAAAAGACCAGCTCCTACCTGGGCGCAGACTCTGTCCGTGGGTGCTCGGTGGGATCAAGGTGCACAGAATGAAGAAAATAGAGACGCACAGGGGGCTCCCCATTTCTCCTGTCTCACCAAGGGTCCGTGGTCATTCCCCAGCTGAAGAAACCAGAGTGTCTATCGATACGTTGTTAGGGAAGGCTGCCCATTAATTATTAACCTTTACGCGTGCTCCCCGGGGTCCAGACATTTTCCTTGTGACCCCCACCCCCACCCCAAATCGAACTCTATGGAATGAAAATGACAAGATTAATTCACAAACGTTTTGTCTCGATCCATTGAGAAGATACAGCCCGCTGCCACGCACTCTTACCTTCTTACCAAAGTAATAGTTCCCAAATGAGCAATTGAAAGTTAGCACGCTATGTTTGGAAAGTCTGTCAAAGGTCAGGGGTAGGTGACTCCCCATGTTGCCTAAGCCTCCCTCTGGCAGTGCTGTGGAGGTAGAAGGGTTATGGCCCTGGAGTTTCAAGTCCCTGAGCTCGGGGAGGGACAAAGGCTCAGGCAGTGTGGAAAGTGCCCAGCAGTTGGTTTTCTGCGGAGTTGGGCACAATGACCGCAGCCTTTGGTCCGAGTAGGGTGGAGCAGCAGAGCTGGGCTCTATAGGAAAGAGACTGAAAACCTCTAACCTCAGTTTAAGAAGGAGCTGAGGGAGAGGCAGAGCCAGAACTTGATGCCCCCCTTCGCGGCCCCATGGAGGGATGACCCTAGAGCAAACACACTGTGTTCCGCTCTCTGTTGATTCACTTTGTCAAGGACTTTGGTCATTGACAGGGAAGGCCATTCAGTGAGACCCTGGAGGGGCAAGGCTGCCCTGATTGACCCGTGTGGTATTTTCTAGGGCTCTAGTTTTAGTTAACTTAACATTCCTGTCTTCCTCTCTCTCTTCTTTCCTTCCCACCTTCCCTCTGACCTTCCTTCATGAACATATGTGCCAGGTTCTAGGGACATGCAAGTGAACAGAACAAAGATCTTAGTCTTGCTGGAACAATCTGTCAGTCGGGGAGGAAGAAGTCAGATAATAATCAAGCGATAGATGCCACTGGGCATCCCCTTACAGAAGGGTCACGGGGAGGAGACAAGCCAGTCAGGGTGCAGTGTAGCCACGATGAAACATACAACTTTCCTCTAGTTCCTGAACGCTTCTTGCCCCCACCACTATCATGATCCCAATTCTACCTTACAATTCTGGCGAGATCAGAGGATATGCACTGGTAAAGATAGGAACTGGAAAAACAGGGAATTCAGGACAGATGATCCCTTCAGGACCAGTGTTGAGAGTGGCGATACCAGGAGGGTGGAGGGAGGATGGGGTAGAAAAGGGGGACTGATTACAAGGATCTACATATAACCTCCTCCCTGGGAGATGAACAACAGAAAAGTGGGTTAGGGGAGATGTTGGACAGTGTAAGATATGACAAAATAATAATTTAAAAATTGTCAGGGGTTCA